TAGATAGATAGATAGATAGAGAGAGAGAGAGAGAGAGAGAGAGAGAGAGAGAGAGAGAGAGAGAGAGAGAGAGAGAGAGAGAGAGAGACGCATGGGGTTGGGGGGACGCGATTGCGCGAAAGAATCTTCATCCCCCCTTCCCCCTGTCTCTGTCTCTCTCTCTCTCTCTCACACACACACACACACACCGTGTGCGTTCAAGCACACAATCTCTCGGCAGTCATACGGAGTTGCTTTTTTCTCTCCAAGTCAAAGAAACCAACAAGACGAATTGCCTGTTTGCCTATGGAGGACGATCAAACGACTCCTCCAATCCCCTCTCGGGCCTCTCCACTTGGACAAGGTCTTGTCTGCCTGACTGCCGTCCTTCTTGCACACAAAAGAACGATCGATAGCCATTTTGAGCAAACAGCCCTTCTCCCCCATATATCATATAATCACATCTGAAAGCCTTGATTGTCCAAAAGAAAAATCAATTAGCCGATTGATCGATTGATCGATCAACCAATCAATCAATCAACAAGTGAACTAATCAATCAGCCATTGAATCAGTCAATCAGTCAATTAATCAAGATGTGATTGATCAATCAGTCAATTAATCAAGATGTGATTGATCAATCAGTCAATTAATCGAGATGTGATTGATCAATCAGTCAATTAAGCAATAAGTGATTGATCAATCAGTAAATTAATCAATAAGTGATTGATCAATCTGCACAGTCCATTGCAGTCCATTAGATTAATGTTGGTATAAGCAAGTCAGCAATTATTTTGCAAGCGCGGTGGGTCGTAAAAAGAAAGAAGTTATTGTTTCGCTAGCGCGGTTAAGTCTGTCATCCACAGCAACGGACCCAGATACGCAATCATTCMCCCCCCCCCCTCCTCTCCTCCCCCCGCCGCCATTTGTTTTGGGACTCTTTTCTCGATTATTGCGCGGGTTGTCCTTGAATGCGTAGAAGGGCTACACGAATCTGATGTTATCTTTATCATTCCAACTGTAGCAGATGTCTTGAAGGACGTCTCTCAGTCCGTCTGTTTAGAGGTGGTGATTGACTTAACTCTTTTATGACGATTAACTAATTAACATTTAGGCTCCAATGAGGCAGCCGATCTGGTAGTCAATCTAATGATCAATCACCGTGCCATACACGGGCAGGTGTTTATGGGATCGTCACCATTTTTTCAGCAACCTGCCACACACTGGTCGTGCCACACATATATGCAGCGTGACTCTTGTACACTGCGAGTTCCACTCTTGCAGGCCCACACCTGCAGTCCCACACCTGGCAGTTCCACAATCGCGGTGCCAAGACACTTGCATGCGATGTTTCTATTATTAATGCTTTTCAGAGCCGTTAAACCCTAAACCCTAAATATTGGACAGTAGAGTAGATAGTGGCGCAGCACATTCCAGCCCTCCAATTCCAGCCCTGGACTACCCTCCGTTAAAACTGGAACGATACAGAGAAGATTAGCATGGTGCCTGCGCAAGGATGACACATAAATTGAGAAATGGAAAAAAAAAAAAAAAGATAAAAAAAAGAGTAGATAGTGGCGCAGTGGAGAGGTTAGGAGGGTGAAAAGGGTAAAGGAGTGTGAAGGATGGTGAGGGAGGGA